GTTTCATCCAAGATAGCTTGGAGCTGGGAGGCAATGGACTGCCTTGGAAGATAATGGACTCTCCATCTTTGAAGGTCTTTCAATGGAGGTTGCATAGGTATCTCTCAGGAATGCTAATGTTGTATCATCCACCATAGCAGGGGACTGGATTCGATGACCCTTGTAGTCCCTTCCAACTCTTGAGATTCTGTGATTCTATGGAGTTCATCACATGGGAGGGAATCAGCCAAATCCCGTGCAGAAATGGGATTTAAATCCACATAAGTGGGATCGTTTTCCAGACGCATTGAGCATTAATCCGAAATTAACTTGCACAGAAAGTGGACAAATCCTGCAAAAGCGGGATCGTTTTCAGACACATTGGGGGCACTGAGCATTAATCTGACATTAACCTGGACAGAAAGTGGACAAAATCAGCTGCTTTTTACTTTTGGGATTTCCCCGAAAGTAAAAAGTGGCCAATTTTCTCCACTTTCTGTGCGGGTTAATGTCAGATTAATGCTCAATGCTCCCAGTGTGTCTGAAAATGATCCCACTTTTGTGGGATATTCCCAGAATTTAAATCCAGTTTCTGCACAGGATTTGGGTACTTAGCCCCCCATGTGATAAACTCTTCTGTCTTTCCAACTCTTTCTTATATGGACTTCTACATCAAGTATTTCTCTCTTACCCATCCATCCATTCATCCATCCGTCCGTGTTCTTTGAGAGCAAGACATCTAGTACTACCCCAAATCACAGTGATTTAATGTAACTATAATGTTAACACAGTACATTGTTTTAAGGACATCTCCATCCTGGCTGACAAAAGTGCATTCTTTATCTCTGAGCTATAAAAATGGAGTTTGCAAGTTAGTTAGGTTTCTTGAGCATTCAAGGCCAGTCAGAGCACCTAACAGTACAATCACTACAAAGACAACATAGTGGTCATGCAGTAAAGATAGTTCAATTCGCATCACACCATGCTAGATGACACTCACTACTCCGGCTGCTGTAGCCAGACATTTTGCTACGGTGCTGGGGGCAGGGCTGACCCAAGATATTTTGCTGCCTGAGGCTGGGGGCAGGTCAGGACTTTCAGATCAGTGTGGAAGTGAATCAGCTCTGAGTTTCAGTCTAAGAGATAAAGAACATAATTTATTGATTTTTTTTAAAAAAAGGGGGGAATTTGTAGCCCATCTTTTTCCCAAAATGGGATTCAAGGTGGATGAGAGAGAGATGCACACACAGATCCTAGCCTGCATTAATAGTGCAATGTCTAGATTGAGGGAAGTAATAGTACTACTCTATTCTGCTTCGGTCAGGTCTCACCTGGAATAATCTGTGTCCAGTTCTGGGCACCACAATCCAAAAAGGATGTGGAGAAACTGGAGCGTGTCCAAAGGAGGGCAACTAAAATGGTGAAGGGTCTGGAAACCATAAAGCCCTGTGAGGAACGACTTAGGGAGCTGGGGGTGTTTAGCCTGGAGAAGAGAAGGCTGAGAGGTGATATGATAGCCATGTTTAAATATTTGAAGAGATGTCCTATTGAGGATGGAGCAAGCTTGTTTTTTGCAGCTCCAGAGACTAAGGGCCGATGCAGATGGCCTGTAAAGGGTGGCTCTGTGCCGCCCCTGGGAGCGCCGAATCAGGGCTGCAGCAACCACACGCCGCGGTCCCGATCCTCCGTTTTGCCTCTCCAAAAAGAGCTGGCAAATGTCGCTCCTTTTTGGGGTGGCAAAAAGTGCTCTTTAGAGCCACCACCACAGCTCTTTTGTGCCTCTTTGGCGCAGTATGTGTGCACACTGTGCTAACAGGGTGCCCTGATGCTATGCGGTGGGCGGTCATGTGCATGGCATGACAGCGGCATCGGGGCGGAGTTGGGGTGGTTGGTGTGCAGTCACCCTGCCCCAACCCAACCCCCATGCTGACCTTTTAGGCCAGGGGTAGGCAACCTTTCCCCTTTAAGGGCCGAAGGACTTCAGCTCCCAGAAGCCTCAGCCATGTTGGCCAATAGTCCCATGTTGGCCAATAGCTCCTGGGATTCTGGGAGCTGAAGTCCCTCGGCCCTTAAAGGAGAAAGGTTGCCTACCCCTGCTTTAGGCTGATCTGCATCAGTGCTAAGACATGAGCAATGGATGCAAGCTACAGGAAAAGAGATTCCACCTCAGCATGTCCTGACTGCAAGAGGACGCTCCTCTGGAGTGTGGTGGAATCTCCTTCTCTGGAGGTTCAGATGGATGACCATCTGTTGGGGGCGCTTTGTGTGTTCCTGCATGGCAGAACTGGGTTGGTCTGGATGGCCCTTGGGGTCTCTTCCGACTCTAGGATTCTAGGATTCTGTGATATATGGCGACCCTCTTCTACAGTTTACTTGGCATGATTTGTTCAGAAGAGGTTTGCCAGGTTGAAGCTGAGAGAGTGTGAGTCCAGTGGAAATCTGTGGCTGAACTGGGAGCAGTGGTGGATCCACTAAGGGCTGAGACTGAACTTTAAAGGAGCTATCCAAGTGCTGAACCTCCTTCAAGGAAAGGGATTGTGAGTGTGTGTTTATATTGGAGTCAGGAGGGAATTCCCAATGTTAGACTAGGACCCTAAGAGACCAGGGTTTGAATCCCTATCCCTTAAATCAGTTCAGAACCTGGATAGTAACTTTAATGTTCCATTCCCCTGCCATGGGGACCACCAGCTGTTGAGGAGAGGCGGGAAAAAAATACATTTGTTATTGTCGTTGTTGTCCCTTTTTCAACACAGACTGCATCTGCACTGCAGAAACAATGCAGTTTGACACCCCTTTAACTGCCATGGCTCCATGCTATGGAATCCTGGGATTTGTTGTTTGTTGTGGAACCGGCGCTCTCTGACAGAGAAGGCTAAATATCCCACCAAACTACAAATCCCAGGATATTATAGTATGGAGCCTTGGCAGTTAAAATAATCTCAAACTGCATTGTTTCTGTAGCCATGGAGAAGCCAACTGAACAGCATCCCCAGAGTCCCTGAGACAGCAGGACATTTTGCGGGGCAGATTAAGGGCAGGCTTCATTGCTGCTGGCTGCCCACCCCCCAGAATCTGCCGTCTGAGCTGCCTAATGAAAGGGCTGATGCTCCACAGAAGATCCTAGGGAGCACTAGGCAAGAGCTTGTGCAAAACAGAATACATTTAACTACAAGCCATCTAATGGCCTTGAAATTGCACATTAGGATTGCAGCCAACATTTTGGAAGAGGCACAGCTATCCACACGCACAGCGTACTGAGCATTTGCACACTTAAAAGACTGTGGGAGAAGCTCTCTTCCTTCCTCCTTGCAAAGACCATAACTCACCTTTCTCTTCCATGAAGTCCTGCCCCATAGTTCCACCCTTTCCCTCTGACTCAAACATTTTCTCCAAAATCCCTGGCAAAATATTTCTCTACCCGTTCTCTTTCCTCTAGCCATCTTTTTCCTCTGCCTCTTTGTTGCCTGTGCAGGCCATGGCAAATCTTCATTTCTACATGGGAAAAGAGCCAGAAATATACAAGGAGTTGCATAGGATTACCACTGGAGTTCTATATCTTCTTTGCAAAGGGAATGCCAGCATGGCATAATGGTTTGAGTGCTAGACTGCGACTCTGGAGAACAGGGTTTGATTCCCAGTTTTGCCATAAAACCCACTGGATGACTTTGGGCAGGACACATGCTCTCAGCCTCAGAGGAAGACAATGACAAGCCTCCTATCAAATCTTGCCAAGAAAACCCCATGATAGGTTCACCCTAAGGCTGCTATAGGAAACAACTTGATGGCACACAATAACTACAAATAACAACTTCTTAGGAGTAGAAAAATTTAAAAATTAATGATGAAAATATGTTTCTTCAATGTCAAGAAATCCTGATGAGAAGAATTCTGGACTAATGAGAATCTTTGTCATTTGGGACTTATTTTACACAAAATTTTCATATGGTTTCTTGCATAGAAAATAGCTATGCCAAGCAGATACAGTATAGCTATTTTTATTCTAGGAATAGCTGTGTCAGTTGAATTTGGTCAATGCAAATGGGGGAGAATTTCATTTCGCTTTGTTCTGGAAGAATTTAGCAAAATTATCCTAATAAGAAACCACAGTACTTTAAAATATATTAAAATCCTTTAAAACCTAACATTGAGACTAAACGTGCAGCATTAAAGGAGCGACATGGAACAAACCAGTTAAACATCAAAGGGCAGTCTAAATATTTTAGGAAGGTCTTTGGAAGGAAGAAAGCAGAGAGGATGCCAGCCTAGTATCCCATGGAAGGGAATTCCACAGTATGGGAGCAGCCACCAAGAAGGCCCTTTCATGTCTTCTCATAAAATGTACCAGTGGTGCAACCAAGAGAAAAAGATCCTCTTCCAAGATGGAAGAGGCTATAGTCCTTCAGATAGCCTGGACCCAAACTGAATAGGTCTTTATCATTGTGCCCAGAAATGGACCAGTAGCCATTGAATTTGTTGTACCGAGGCAGTTATGTGTTCCTTGTAACTGGCTCCAGTCAATGGCATACCTTCCAAAACTTCCCAGATGAAAACTGAGACACGGCGGCCAAGGAACCTCAGAGAGTGGTCAAGATGTCCAAAGTTATGAATGAAGAAGAACACACAAGCTGAGAGAGGCTGCAGCAGTTTGCTTTGGCCGGAGCCTACTGGGAAGGGCAAGACTCAGTCCCTTCCTTCCTCTCGCCTTTCTGAGTTAATGGAGTGCAAGTTATTTTTCCACTCCGCTATGAGGGCAGGGCTCAGCACTTTGGATAGCAACTTTTAAAATTCAGATTAAAATCAGGAGCTATCATCCACACATCAGCTGCCACTGGAAAAGCAATAGACCAAGGTCTCCTCCACCACCGGTGTATGTTAACCCTCCTCCAGATCTTAGGCAACACATCCTCCTGTCCAACTACTGGGCTTTTTATCTCCTCTTTGCTGCCGCTGCCTGTCCTCCTCCGCACCCACTATCTCTTTCCACCTTATACAATAAACACATACCGTACACACCCTGCATGCCCTGGTCCTGTAACAGCTGGTGAGATTACCCTGAGGCTTCTACCTGCTTCGCAGAGGGGCGGATTAAAAATAAATATTATTATTATTATTATTATTATTATTATTATTATTATTATTATTATTATTCTGTCCTCTCTGTTGCTCCAATAAAAAGGAAAAAGAAATTGGCAGAGGAGATCGGAGTTTGCTTTCTCTCCCACAAAATCCTACTGCCAACCCAAAGAGAACTGCTTACCATATGCACATGTCTTAATGTGCCATTATATAAGTTTTCTTATGTGCTGCCGAAGCGGCTTCAACCTATGAAGACCATTTGAATGAGAGACCTGCATGAGTCCTGGTCACCAATTGCCCTGTCCAGATCTTGGAAATTCAAAGCAACTGTGGCTTCCTTGGTTGAGTCAACCTACCTGCAATATATTTTCTTTCTTTTCCTTCTGCCTTCTGCTATGCCAGACATGGTCATTTTTTCCTAATGATTCAAGTCATACCATAAAATCTCATGATCACAGAATATTAGTTGGAAGTGACCACAAAGGCCATCTCATCCAACCATGCAGGAAGACCAGGGTGACCAGATGTCCAAAGTACAAAGGAGGACAAGGCACCATCAAATGTAGGACATTGAAGAAAAAAGTATGCCATTAACAATTAAAAGCTAAAAACACTCATATAAATATAACTTCATGCTGCTTAATCATGCTCAAAATCTATATAATGGATTAGATCCAGTTACTAGTCCCAGACTCTGAACTTAAGTGTTAACTTTCCATGATTCAGTGTGTAGGTTCTGCTTCTGACTAGGGCTGCATCTGCATGTGTGAGTGTTGTGTGCCTTCAAGTCATTTCCGACTTATGGTGACCCTAAGGTGAAACTATCATGGGTTCAGAGATTTGCCATTGCCTTCCCCTGAAGCTGAGAGAGTGCAATTTGCCCAAGGTCAGGAGTACTTTGATTATGTATTACTGCATGACAGGGGTTTGGATTTAATGGCCATCGAGGTCTCTTCCAACTGTTCATTCTATGATTCTATAAAATGACAAATAAGACACACACATATTAAAACAATCCACATTTAAAATTAATCATATGAAATTCACAGTCTTAAAAAATCATCTGGATAGGCTGGTCTTTAATTCTGTTTTACATTTACATATCCTGTCAGGATATTAAGCTGTCAAATCTTTTCTGGCAGGTCATTCCACAGTCTGGGGGTGGCTGAAGAAAAAGTCCTCTGTCTCACAGTTGCCAGTCTAGTCCTGGCCGCATGAAATAAATGTCCTGCAGAGGACCAGAGTGTATGGGGTGGATTATATGGGAGTTGGCCATTCTGTAGGTAACCTGGACAAAAACCAGGTAGGGTTTTAAAGGTAATAGCCAAGACTTTGTACTTGCCTGGAAACTAATTGGCAGCCAGTGGAGCTAGATCTGAGATGAACAATTGTCAGAAGCTAGGGAACTGCAATAGCCCACCCTAGGAGACTTCTCCATGTCACCTGCCACCCCCCAATAAAAATAAAAAAGATTTTTGCCCCCAAATACCTTCTAGAGGTTAGCACTTTTGGGGTGCCCTTGGGTCATTTGAAGCCAAAAAAATCCCATTTAACAACAAGTGACTGGGACCTCGGATTTCCTTCCAGTTTGGGAACACCAAAGTCCCCTCCTTGGAGTAAAATGGCCCAAGGACATCAAAAAAATGTGGGAAAAGTCCCCTGATCTACTCCGGGGGCTTTGGAAAGTACTGAGGGCAAACATTTGACCACATGGGGCCATGAAGACCATATGCGACCCACAGGCCACAATTTGCCCACCCTTGGCCAAATTGCTAAGATTTGCTAAGCAGTTGGTACTTTTTTTAAATAAAAGAGCGCGGAGGCAGTTAGCAAATGGCTCTGAAAGAACACTGCTTTGGAATGGCTGCACATGCCTAATTGCATGGCGCGCATAGCGATCAAACACTAATGGCTGATTAAAACACAACCAGCCAAGGTCTGGGGTTTTTTTTTGTGTGTGTGCTTTTTCTGTAAAATGAGGGAGCCATCGCCAGTCGCTGCTGCACCTCCATGTGTTTTGTTTTGTGTTAAAGAACAATTGCATTGCATCTCATTAATAGCAGCTTTTCAAAATCTCAATTAATAATCCCCTTCAGTTTAAAGCACTCCGCAGAGTCAATTGGAAGGAGCTCCATTCGCTCCCTCCGAGCAGCCAAGGGAGGCTATGCCAAGAAACAGAGATAAAATAACCTGATTAAAATCCAAGGGAAAAGGCCATTTTTCCAAGCGAGCTTATGAGCTGGCGAGTGTGGCCCATCATCCTTGGTGGCATCAGAAGAGACTTGACTGAGCGGAGGATATCAAACTCTCCAAAACTGGGTGCAGCCCTTCCAGGTGGCACAATGCCTAGGAACAAGATGGCAAAGCAAAATGGTTCTTTTGCTCTCCAGCAGCCCTTGGCTGCACTAGCACATTTCCCGGATGCAATGCTCCTCTCGCCCACCATCTAGCCAAAGTGCATACTTTTTTGAAAACCTCCTTCATTTCAGTGAGAAAGTCTGAAATGACTGCCTGCCAAAAAAAAAAAAAAAAAACAACCCTCTGGGATTAAGTTGACCCAAATCATCCACATTTCTTCTCTAGGTGTGATCTGTGGCTATTCTCTTTGCCTTCTTTGCAAGGGTTGAAGTGAGTGAGGAGAGCAAATATGTGCAGCACTTCACTTCATCTTGAGGAAGGACAGGAGTTTGCACTGCGGATGATTTTTTAATCCCTTCCGCCCATTCCAGTTTGTTGATGTGCAAATCTAAGCCA